TCCTGGAGACTGACATCTCATTTGACTGGTGACTTTCTCGAAGAATGCCAGCCTTGCGATCCTACTGTGTTTTTTTTTTCCTCTTAATCTCATTCCTGCCACTACTGAGAGGAAAATGGGAACAAATGGAAATATAGCTACAGACACCCACAAGTACACATAGGCACATGCATCTGTGTTCGTCCAGCTGTACACTCCGCGTGCATGTGTGAGAGTAACTTTGAGGCCTAGGTCTTCATGACTGTGGCCAGCCCCTGGTGGGGCTCAGTCAGGGCTGGCTCTCCTGAGGGCTCAAATACTAAAATGGATGAGGTACAAGGGAGGGGAGGGACATAGATAAAAAAAAGATCCAGTGGCTAGGGCTGAGACTTTGGTTCTGGGTTTAAAGGCTTACACCAAGAATGTTTTATCCAGGTCAGCTCTCTCCATGGCAGCTTTGAACTGTTAGGAAGCAGGGCTGTGGAAGTTGGAGGCCTCACGGGTCCCTAATCCTGAAGAGTATATAGTGGGTAATGGGAACGCAGGACCCAAACGGGAACCCCTGTAAGCTGGCAGGGAGCAGCGCAACCAGTAGCTCAACCCTTCGTTTTATCTTAAGAGCCTGAGGCCCAGGGAAGGGAAGTGACTCGCACAAGTGCCACAGCAAAGTGGTAGTAATATTGCGACCAGGACTCTGTCAGGTCTTCTTCCTGCTACCCACTGCGCATGCATTTTTTTGGGTGTCACACCTTAAATGGCGTTCCTTCCACCAGGCAGCTGGTTGGAGTATGCTTCCCACGCACTACGTGAAGATTGCTTTCTGGTTCATTCAGCAGTTTTAGGCCATGGGATAGTAACCATAAACTGTAAATCTTAACCATTATCATAATAGCAGCTAAAATGCAGTGAGTCCAGGCATCATATCCCTGGTCATCATGCCAACCCCATTATACAGTTGAGGTCCTGAGGCTCAGAGAGGTTAACCAATTTACCCGAGGTTACGCATTCAGGAAGTGTTAGCTTAAACCACTTCCCCTGCTCTTAAGTACTGCATTTCACTACTGTCTCCCAAAAATACGGGTAAGAAAATAAATATAACCATTTCAGATACTTTTAAGTACTACAAAAAAAAAAAAATAAAGCATGGCGGGACACAGAGGATGACCATGTGTCTCTTCTGTTCGTGAGGTTGGGTGGTCAAGGTTGAAGATGTAGCGGCCTCTGTACAGATTCCAGACTGACAAAGAGCTCACCATGCCAAGAGCTGAGAGAAAGGCATTTTAGACGAAGGAACCTTGGATTTTTTTGGGGGGAAACGCCCTTGGAAGGTTTAAGCATGGAAGTGACATATTTTGCTGTGTAATGAATTGTAGGGGGATCCCAGGGGGAATGCAGGAGAAAAGATTTGACATTTTCGGGAAACTTGATGGTGATGGGGGAGGAGTGGGAGGGTCTGGGCTGGGAAGAGAGCCAGGGCATCAGGGACCAGCATTTTTATTTTGCTTCCCACATTCCCCGGGACCCCCTCTCTAATAGGATGGTTAAGTTTTAAAAATAAAGGCCCTGGCAGGTGTGGTTCAATTGGTTGAGAGTTATTGGTTCGATTCTTGGTCAAGACGCATGCCAGGTTGTGGGCTCTCTCTCCGAATGCCAATCAATGTTTCTCTCGCCCTCTCTCCTCCTTTCTCTTTAAAATCAGTTTTTTTTAAAAAGGACCCTGGTTCCAGTTAGGCCCACTCATAGCCATACCATGGAGTAGAACAGCTTCAGAGGAGGGGAAATGCCTGGGGTCGGATGGGGATAGTGGGGGAGAGTGTCTAAGGTAGAATTTTTGCTTAAGACTGTCACCGGGAGGTAAATTTCCCAAGGGATCACGCTATCTGCCACTGTTCTCGACCAGGAGAGGGCTGTGGTGGATAAGAATTCTTTCCGCCAAAAGTGGTTTGGCTCAGTGGTAGAGCGTCAGTCTGCGGACTGAAAGGTCCCAGGTTCGATTCCGGTCAGGGGCATGTACCTTGGTTGCGGGCACATCCCCAGTAGGGGGGGGGTGCAAGAGGCAGCTGGTTGATGTTTCTCTATCATCGACGTTTCTAGCTCTCTATTTCTCTCCCTTCCTCTCTGTAAAAAATCAATAAAATATATTTTTTTTAAAAAAAGAATTCTTTCCCCAAATCTCTGCCCCAGGAGATCCCACATGCTGTCCTCCCTCCCAGTTGGGAACTTCCTCCTCAGGTTCTGCCACATGCCTCCTACGGGCCCTGGGCTGGATTATTGACCTTCCTTTTCCGTTCTGCCTCTTTCTCCCTCACAAATCTCCTGCCTTGCATGGCCAGGCCTAGACAGGACTCCATCATGTCTGAGGAGAGAGGCAGGAGGTGCTAGCAACTCCCTTGGCTCCTGGCTGAACTCAACTTCTTCCTTCCCTCCTCCCACCCCCAAAATGCTGGAGGAGCCAATGGAAAATGAGAGCATTGTTCCTTCCCATAAGTCCACAGCCTCAAGCCCAGATCCACCCCTGGGCCTGAAGCTACTTGCAAGGCTATTTACTGGAGACCAGCAGGTGCCCAGCCTTCCCCAGACCCTCCCCTAATTTGTCAATGTCTTAGGTCCTCAGGAAGATGGAAAGACAAGCCTATTTCTGACTTGGAAGAGCTCAGTGGATCCCAGACAGGGAGGCACTATTCCAAAGCCCTGGGACCATTAAACATCTGGGTTTCCTGGGATACATATTCCCGCATAGCCTGTCTGGCCCCCGTACATTCTTGGCACATAATGAAGGTGTGATAAGTAATCTGTGTTATCAGTTTGTTTTGAGAACCCATCTAAAACTGGCTTTGACTTCAGGCTGAATTCAGGACTAATATTGAGCAAAGCCACTTCCTTCATGCATTGAACATCTACTGTATTACATGTGTGTGTATGCATGTCACATGAATGTAACATGTTCTGTGTGAGCTAGGCTCATTAGTTGGATGAATGAAAACATGAACTGTCCTTCAATTTTCTCCTCTAAAAAAAATGGAAGTTGCCCTGGCCTGTGTTGCTCGGTGGTTAGAGTGTTGGCCAGGGGCCAGAAGAATCTCGGGTTCAATTCCTGATCAAAGGCACATCCTGGGTTTGGGGTTCACTTCCTGGCTCTAGTATGGGCACATTCAGTGTCCCTCTCTCTCATATCAATGTTTCTCTCCCTTCCTCCCTTCCGCTCTCTCTGAGAAGCAATAGAAAAAATATCCTCAGGTGAGGATCCACAAAAAAAGGGAAACAACAAACTTCATTGTAAAGCTGTTGTGAAAATTACTTTTAAAAAAATTAAAAAATAAAATAAAATAAAGCCCTATCTGGTTTGGCTCAATGGATAGAGCGTTGGTCTGCGGACTGAGGTCCCAGGTTCGATTCCGGTCAAGGGCATTTACATTGGTTGCGGGCACATCCCCAGTGGGGGGTGTGCAGGAGGCAGCTTATTGATGTTTCTCTCTCATCGATGTTTCTAGCTCTCTATCTGTCTCCCTTCCTCTCTGTATAAAATCAATACTATATATATATAATCATAGTAGGTGCTTAATAAGTGGTGGTGAATATTAATTGTGGCTGTAAGTGTTAAGGTGCTTAGCTGTAGGGTGGGCAGCTCAGTGCTACTCCGGATTCTTGGGAAAGGCCACCTGGATTCCCAGCAAATGGGCCCCAACTCTCCCAGAGCTGCAGGACTCGGGGGAGAGGGGGCTTAGTGAATCCACGCTTCCAGGAAGCCATCCCTGTCTCTCCTCACTATCTATCCCCCTAGCTTTCTTTGCTCATGCGCACTGTCTGCTACTCACAACCCACCTCTCCAGTGAGCAAGACTCTGCAGCAAAGCAATCCGCTCTTTCTCCCCATCTTCCCCACCTCGGCCTCTGCTGTCCCCTAAGCTTGGCCCAGCTGCCACCCCTATCTCCTTCCCCAGGCCGCCCCAGCCCTGTGGACCCTGAAATCCCCAATGTTGCTGGGTTTTGTTTTGTGAAACTTCCCTGCTTTTCCTTGGGGAGACACCCCTGCATCTTCGCATGGCTTCTCAAGAGGACAGGCTAAGCAGGAGAGGGGCGCTTGCGCCTCCACGCCCCGCCCCCTCCCCGGTCCCCCGCGTGGCCCCCAATCCCACCCCCCGGAGCGCCAATCAAACTCCGTCTGGATCTCCCGGGACTTGGCGCAAAGCCTGCACCCTCCCAGCGGAAGTGTGCACGGCCCTCCGGCCAAGACTGACAGCGGCCACCGCTCCACCCCCCGCCCCGTGGCGCCGCCGCAGGGAACCCTGGGAGATGTAGTTTTCGGCAGCTCTCAGCAGGGCCATTGCCAGCAGGCCCTTCCCCACAGATGCACTTCCTGCTATTGCCATATGCATCTTCAGACCCACGGACTCTCCGGGCCCAAGAGCACTAGAGAGACAGGCCTGCGGGCTGGCTGCTGGAGACGGGCAGTTTCCAGAGGGGTCGGGAGGGCCTTGGACAAGTCCCATAATCGACAATCTGACTTGCAGAATTTTGAGGGAGAACAGGCTCAGGACCTGGCACTCAGTGTGTCCTCAATAAATGGGTGCTAATGTTATCTTTGCTGGCCAGACAGAGCTGTCAATGACAGTTCAGCCCCTAAGCGTGCGTGGGGTCAGGCCAGGACCTATAGATCTCCCTCTTCCTACCCCCCTGTAGCCCCCCCTCCTCCCACACACACACACACACACACCTTCCCAAAAGGCCCAGAGGTTACCCCCGATCATATTTAATCCAGCAACTCAGTGCCCCTCTCTGTCCCACCCAAGTTACCCTCTTTGCCTCTGCCCATCTACAAATACACTCTCTATATATCTACTCTGAAATATCTGATATTTATTTCCCAACATTTTGAAAATTTTTTTACAAATTGAATAAAAGTAATGAAGGGGAGAAGTGGGACCCCAGGCCTGGCCCTGGGTTCCTGATGAGAGGTGACAGTGTGAAAATGTCTCCTCACCCACAACTCCTGGCCTGCTGCTCTAACCTCTCCTATCAGCCTTACCTAAGAGTGAGGTAGGGGCTTTCTGAGGATGTGGGGTTCCCCTTAGAGGCATCCTTTTTCAGGCCCTGAACTGGTTCAGGCTGGGGGTTAGCGTGGACCGCGTGGTGGTGCCTCCTGCGCCTCTCTTGCCTGCGGGCCAGCTGTCGCAGTTGTTTCCGAATGGCCCACAGCACCAGATACACTTCCCGCAGCATCTCAGCTTCCGGTGACTGCAAAGGGGACCGGGTCCTTATTTCGGAAGGAACTGAGGTAGAACTCACAGATGACTGAAAGAGAGAGACGTGCACATGTAAACAGCTTGGTCTAAGGAGAAACAGCTGGTGGAACCACCTGCAGATAAATAACAAAGGCTTTTAATTCCACCTCCTTCATTATGCCTCAGCTCAGGCATTGCCTCCTCCAGGAAGTCTTCTCAGGCTATATTAGGTGTCCGTCTCTACCCTTGTGTTTGCCCTGTCAGTCATCACTATTTGTTCTTCGGACGCAACACTAGAATGCAAGCTCCTGGAAGATTAGGACCACGTCTGACCCACCTTTGAGTTCCCACTAGTGCTTCATGTGTTAAAACGAAGAAGGATCTCTGTTTCCGGCCCAGAGCTCCCTTCTGACCTCCAGGCCTGTGTATCACACTGCCTCCTAGACATCTTCCTGCAGATGTCTTACGGACATCTCAACTTGTTTTGTCTCAAAGCACAAACTCATCATCTCCTTCCCTAGGTACACCCTTGCTCCAGCCTGCTCTGACTTCTATTTCTCCCTTTTCCCTCACCATATTCCACCCAACCACTTAGTGCAACAATTCTACCCCTTAAATATTGCTCTGACCCATTCGCTTGTTCTACCCAACTCTTCTCCCCAAATCCAGAATATCCTTCTCTCTTAGCCAGGACTACAAACACCTCCAATGGGTCTACCTGCCTCTCCTCTTGTTCCCTTCCGATCCCTGCCCCTCCATAGGAAAGCCATGTGACTTTAAATTAATGCTGCAATACTTAATTCAAGGCCAAGATAAGCTGATTTGGTAATGATCTAGGCATTTCCTAGTTTTAAATTAAGTTTTTCACTTGGAGATAACGGTAGATTCATATGCAGTTGTGGGAAATAATAGAGTTCCTGTATACCTTTAATCAGTAGTCTCTCCTAGCCCTGGTTGGTTTGGCTCAATGGATAGAGCATCAGCCTGCCGACTGAAGGGTTCCAGGTTTAATTCCAGCCAAGGGCACATGCCTGGGTTGTGGGCTCCATCCCCAGTAGGGGATGTGCAAAAAGCAGCCAATCAATGATTCTCTCTCATCATTGATGTTTCTATCTCTTTCTCCTTCTCCCTTCCTAAAACCAATAAAATATATATTTTTAAAAAGTAGTCTCCCCTCCCCTATAGTAAAATCTTGTGAAATTCTAGCACAATATCATACCATAGATATTATAGTCAGGAAATTGACATTGATGCACTCCACTGATCTTATTCACATTTCCTCAGTTTTACTTGTATGCATGTGTGTGTGTGTGTGTGTGTGTTGAATCCTATCCAATTTTTATATCATATGTGCAGGCTCATGTATCCAACTACCACAGTCATAATGATATAGGAGATTTCCATCACATAAGGATTCCTCATGTTGTCTTTTATAACAAACCTTCCCTCACCTCCCCCACCCCCACCCTCACCCTCACTCTGCAGCCCCTGCCAACTATTAAACCACTGATCAGTTCTCTGTCTATAATTTCAGTATTTCAAGAATGGCATAACATATAAATGGAATCACGTAGTACATATAACCTATTTTAGATTGGTTATTTTCATTAGCATAATTCCCTTGAAATTCATCTAAGCTGTTGAATGTATTAATAGTCTGTTCTTTTTATGGCTGATAAGTATCTCATGGAATGGATATATCACAGTTTAACCATTCACCCATTGAGGGACATTTGGGTTGGTTTTGGCTATTACAAATAAAGCTACTATGAACAGTCCTGTACAGATTTTTGTGTGAACATAAAATTTCATTCATTCATTAGGATGACCTTCCAAGAGTACTATTGCTGGGCCGTATAATAATTGCATGGTTAGTTTTATAAGAAGCTACCAAACTGTTTTCCAGACTGATTCTACCATTTTGCATTCCCACCAGCAACGCAGGAGTGCAGGTGACCTTTCTAAATCAAAATCTGTTGCTCTTAGGGTCAAACTCAAATTCCACGCAACTGGTCACCAGCTCTCTTTTGCACTAGCTGGTCCTCAGCTCCAGGAACATTTTCCTGTGATCCACACAACTTGGGCCAGCGCTCCAAGCATCTGTGCTTCTTCCTTCATAAACGCTCTTGCCACTCCTTCCGCTTTCTGCGGACACCTCCACCCTGCCTCAAGCTAAGCTAAAACCTTCAGTCTCAGCCTCACCCTCTCTTCTGTTTGGAAGGTCTTCCTTGACTTCCCAGGTTTGGATGAGATGCCTCTCCCCTGGATTCCCACAGACCCCTATGAGCTTGTCTGCAGCCTCCTTTTAGTCTGGGCAAACCTTGTCCATCTCCACCACGTACCTTACGAGCCTATCTCAGCAACTGGCGCTAAATAGGAGTGCAGGAAATCAGTGTTGAACAACTGAATGGAGGGAGGAGGAAGTCCCGTGGGGAGGGGTGGGGAGATTGTCGGGGACAAGGGGGTATGGTACTGACCTTCCAGCTGCACATTTGCCAGCCAGACTGGAGGGCCGAGAGCATGAGTGAGGAGACAGACTTGGCAGCCGACCGGGGCAGCTGTAACAGGGACCGGCTCCTACAATCCAGCTCCACTTTAGCCCTATCGGTTGTCTTGGCCAATGTGCAGGGATCAGATGCCTTGGGGAACAGTCCCATCCTGGAGACATTGGCCTCTTTAAGGGGCCCCACGAACTTGAAAGTCTCAATCACACTGCACTTCGACTCCATCTTCAGCGCAGTTTTCTCGGAGTCAGCGTGTCCCACAACTGTTGACTTAGTTTTGTGTTTCCAGAAAAACACCTAGGAACCAAGAAGGGAGAGGAAGGATGGGAGAGAGGGCCGGAGCGGAGACAGCAGTCCGAAGAGGGGAGGCACAGAAGGGATGGACAACGTGTGTCCTGGCCTCCTCCTGGGCTGTCCTGCCTCACTTCTCCCTCCCTGTCTTGTTTGGCCACAGGAAGCCAGGGGGAGGGAGGCCAGCGAGAGGGGGTGTGTATGTGACCTAGAAGTCATTGGCCAGCACCTCCCACCCCAGAATGGTATAAGAAAGGGCAGTTTCTGAAACTTACCCAGCAAGTAAGCTTTCGCCAACACCACTGGAAGAATCTGATAGTCATCTCTCCCAATTCACCAGTCCCAAGTAGGGGGCACAACCAGCATCCGGTATGAGGAGAGAGTATGGGGGGGCAAGCTGCAGGCCAGTGGCTGCCACCTCAGAGGTCTCTCAGGAGCTTCAAATGCAGCAGCGAAGAAAGAAATAAGGAATCTAAGGGCAAAGCTCCCAGACAATTGATCCTAGGCCTTCCCTCCCCTCCCTGGGGCAGGGAGAGGAGTCAAAGTGGATGAGAACCCAGAGTGAGAGAGAGTTCCAGCCCATTGTGAGAGCCTGCCTGGCCTTGACCCCAGCCCCCGAGGCCCTTCCAAGAGCCCAGAGCCAATCTCTGAACCCTCAGCCCTTCTTTCCCCAACGACATGAAAGGGAAAGGGACATTTCGGAGCGCAGAGACTCGCTGGGCGTTTTGTGTGTGTGATGTCCTGTAATTCTCACGGCAGCCCTCAGGTAGGTAGGTGTGACTGTCAGTGCCGTCTTACCCACGAGGAAGCTGGGATTCAAAGAAACCAGAGACCTGCCCAAGGTCATACATAGAAACCAGGGGCCTACCCGAGGTCATATATAGGGGGAGCCATATGGTCAGCCTCCAGCATCCAGCCTTCTGCAGGTCCTGTCCAGGCTGAGGAAAGGGCCCTCCTGAGCTGAGGCCGCTGCTTTCTCCCACTTCCCCACTAGATGGGGTCCTTCTCCCTACCTGCTGCTTCTGCCTTGGACAGGAGCCCAGCTGAGGCTGCCTGGGAGGGGCCTGCTCCCTCACTGGGCCCCATCCTCAGCCAGCTGGGGGTGGAAGCCACAGAGGCCGGCCAGGCCTGGCGAGGGCACTGTGTGCCCGGGAAGCCTGGCCCACACCCAGGGCTGAGACAAGGGGCCCATTCAGGGCCCCCTGCCCCACCCCCAAGCAGCCACCCGGATCCAGCCCGCAGAGGGGACACACTGGGAAGCTGAGGGTGGATCCTGTACAATCACCAAAAGGCCTCATTGTTTCCCTGCCGCCCCCACCCCTCCCCAGCACGTGGGCCGACAGCCCCCTCCACCCTCCCTCCCTCCGCCTTGCCTTGCCTGCCCCTTCCCAGGACCTGGCAGGCCACCGGCTCCCTTTCCAGCATCTCTTCTGACCACTCGGAGCCACATTAAACCTCCCCAGTTTGGGCAAGACGTCTGGGGAAGCCTGCAGCCTCAGTGCCTCTCCCATGGTCGGCATTGCTGGTGCAGGGCCCCAGTCTGGACACAAGCAACGAGATGCCGATTTCCAGATTCAAGTTTCTTTGGATTTTTTAATTATAATTATTATTTTAATAACAACCTGAATCCCAGAACTTCCAGATACTGTCCATATTCCCTCCCCTGGGCAGAGAAGAGGGGGCACTTCCAGGGAAGTAGGTGAGGATGGGGTGTCTGCCAGGAAGCCTCCAACTCCCTCAAGCCATCTACTGCTGGGGGTCCCAGAACACTGACCCCTAGGGAGGGAGGCGGGAGCTCCATCTAACACCCTGTCCTGAGGCCTCTCTCCTCCATCAAGGTCTGGGGATGCCCCAGCCCAGTCCCTAGGCATTATGGGGAAACGGAGGAAGGACCGGGGGACAGGCCAGTTCTGAGCCTTTAACTCCCACCCCTAGGGACCAGGGGGAATTAAAGCTGCATAGGAAGAGGGGGCAGGCGGCTGGCACAAGGCCTGGCAGCTGTGGCAGCCCCCAAAGGCACATTGTGAGGGAAAGGAGGCTCAGATGGAGGGCCCATTGGGCGCAGGGGGCCCAAGCCGAGGGACCCCTGAGGACGGCAGCTGGGCCAGCTGCTCGGGGCTGGCCAGGGCGCGCAGCAGTCCATTCTCTTGCTCCAGTGCAGCATTCCGCTCAGCCAGGTCCCGGATCTGCTCCTTCAGCACCTCCACCTCCTCCCGGACCGCAAACATGAGGTGGGACTTCACCAGGTCCTGGGGGACAGACAAAGCATCAGGGATCCCAGGCCACGCCAACCCCATTGCCTGCCCAGTCACTGGAAGGGCTGACTGTGAGAAACCCTCCTCCTTCCAGACAATGAGGGACCGCGGGGAAGAAGTAATGCAGGGGAAGGAGCGGAGGGGCCGCAGAGAAAAAGGCCGGACAGAGGCAAGGTCAGGGCTCAAAGACAGAGATGGGGACCAGGAGCAGGGCCAGACCCAAGGGAAGCCACGGGTGCAGGTGGAGCCCGGAGCTGGTGGAGGGCCCAAGGGAACCCAGCTGGGAGCAGGTGGAGGAGCTAGGAGACAGTGTTCCCTAATAATGAGGACAGCAGGGGCGGAGCAGCAGGCCAGCTGAGCGAGGCAGGACCTGGGCATCAGCACACGAGCAGGGACCTCCTGGGGCCAAGATGGCTTCTCTTACCATGGCTTGTTCGATCTTGTTGTCAATGCCAACCAGGCTTCCGGAGCCGCTGGAGAGAGAGACAGGGAGACGAGAGGTAAAGAGGAGCAGGTGCCAAGCCAGGCATCTGGACACCACAGCTAGTTGCCTTCCAGATGTTTCTCAGAGCAGGCTCTGGCCTCCACAAGCCCACTGCCGCAGCCTCCCACCCACATCCCAGCCTGTACCTGTGACAGTAGAGAATCAGAGAGAGGAGGGTTTTGTCCATCCCCCGGCGGGGTGAGGGTCTCTGCCCAGGCCCCCCGAGGCCCCGGTGGGGCGGGGGCCCCGGAGCCCCTCGGATGGGGGATGCTCCCCTAGGGGAGCAAGGAGAGGAGACACAGCCCCTTTTCCGGGGAGGTCCCGGAGCCATCCCTACCACCCGGGTCTCAAAAGATGACACCAGGGACTTGACAGAGACTCCTGGCTGGGCCATCCCCAAGGGGCAAGGGTCCCCAGGCCTCCCGCAAAGGATGACGGCTGTATCAGTACTGCCTGGGGGGCTCAGAGCCCCCCGGGCAGAGCGGGGTCCGGCTGGTGCCAGGCAGGCAGAGAGAAGACAGTGCCCAGGGGGTGCCCGCCTGGAAGATATACACCACCCCCCAAGGCAAAGCCTGGCTGCTATTGGCTCCTCAGGGACACGGGGACCCCCTCCCACTGGCTCCATGGTGGGCGGGAATTCCCAGACTCAGTCAGTGCCAGTGTCCCCTTCTTAACCTGGCAGCAATCCCAGAGCAGAGGGGAGGGAGCCTGGCTGAGGGAAGTCAGCTGGTGGGCCTGGTGCAGGGCGGCGTGGGTCCGGGGGGGAGGGGGGGGGGCGTAAAGGTTGAGGGAGAGCCTGGCCTTGGGAGGCCTCTCCCCACCTCTGCCTCCATCCTGCCCCCCTAGTCTAGCACTGGCCTCCCTCAAGGTCTTAGCTCCTCTCGGCTGGGACGGCGGTTGCGGGGGAGGGGGTATTTGATGTGCTTGTGGTCTTCCTTGGACTGTAAGCAGTCCCCCTTTCCAACATAAAGCTTTCATCAGGGGTCTCCCCTGGTGTCTGCCCAGAGGTAACCCCACCTCCCATGGTGAGAGCCAGGAGGAATGGGAAAGGTTGCCATGACAATGGAACGGAGTCCAGAGCCCTGAAAGACCAGCACAGCCTCTGGTCCTGGGTCTGGGGTCTGGAGTGTTGGAGGAGTGAGGGCTGCAGGAGCGGTGGGAAGGCGAAGCTGGAGGTGGGACCCTGGGAACAGGAGCAGAGACTTTTCTGATGACCCGTGGGAGCAGGGGACAGGAAAGGGAGAGCAGGTCTGGCTGCTGCAGTTTGTTAAGTGGCCACCAGAGGTCAACACAGGCCTGGCACACCGGTCCTCGGGGCCAAGTTCTGGGTCCCAGAACCAGACCTCCCTCAATCAAATCAGTCTCTTGGAGGCCTGAGGCCTGAACCATCCTGCGAGCCCTGCCCGAACCTCCGAGGCTCCCTCTTCCCACCACGCAGGCCCCAGATCCCTGCGTCACCCCTGGCTCCTGACCCAACCCCGTCCTGTGTCTGCCTCGGCTGCCTCAGCCCCAGGGCCAGCCCTTCAACCAGGACGGTGCTGCAGGATCGCCACCCTGACCTCCCGCCCCTGCTGCTCCCTACCCCCCCACCACCCCCCTGTCCCTCTTAAGAGTTGGTGGCCCCAACATGCTGTATCCTGTGCCCTTGTACTCAATTGTCAAGCCCTCCCTCCGGCTTGTCAGTTCCAACTTGCTTTCCTGGAGGGGGGGTGGGGGTGAGGAAGATTAACACTCATTTCAAGGTGACCCTTGAATGAGGCCCTGCAGCCAGGAAGAGTACACAGGGAGCTGGGAATTTTCCATTTCCCATCCAAGCTCTGGGTGCAGAAGGCACTGACAGGTGGGTAACCAACGGGGTGACCAGGCCTGAGAGAGCAGCCTGGGGTGGGGTGGGGTGGGGGGCGGACACCTGAACTCCTAGAATCAGGAGGGAAGAGGACACATTTCAGAGCGGAGGGCAGGCCAGCCAGCTGGAGAGTCAAAGCAGCTCTCAAGCTATTTCCATCTGAGGCACCTGGGTGGAGCCTGGGCCACCACAGAATCTTCCTCCCTCCCCTTCCCCGTAAACACAGACACACAGGGACCAAAGAGGGGCAGACCCATAGGAGCGGGGAGGCTGGCTTCCTTGGCGGACACTCAGGTAAAGATGCCAAGTGCGTTGTTTGTTTGTGCCAGAAACAAAGGGGCACTACAGTAACAAACACCTGCTGGCTGATAGAGGACCCTCTCCTGTTTGTCTCGTGCTGGAGAGTTTCTGACAACACATTCCACTGTCACATCCTAACAGCCACACTTCCAGGGACCAAGACTCTGGCTGGCACCCCACACTCTCCCTTTGAGAACCCTGAGGGAGGGGCGGCAGGCAGGCATTGTGCTGGAATGCTCGGGCAAAGTCAGGAGCCGAAAGCTTGGGGTTGGCTTGGTGAGATCAATTCTCACCAGAAGCCCAAAAAGGTGACTTTGTGTGAAGTACAACAATATATTCCCTTTTCTTCAAGACCTTTACTTCCATCTTCCAGAAAACTGTCATGACTCCAAACGCCCACAGTGACTTCAAATGTGCGTGGCGCCCCCTGGAGTTGTGCGGGGCACAATGTGCACAGCTGGGGACCCTGGGTCTGCAGGACTCTTGGATCCTGGGGCATAGAATAGCCTTAGAACTGGTCTTCCTTTTTGAAGGTCAAATGAAATAGCCTCACAGTGAGGATCAGAGGAAGAATCAGGACATCTGGGAGAGGTGGAGGTTCTGATCCCAGGGACAAGGGCCGGCCCGCTCCCTCGCTGAGTTCTGAGGAGCCCCCAGGAGCTGGGCCCGGGGCCAGCCAAGTGGCATCCAGCAGCACTGTCTACACTCCCGCCCGGATCCGTGGTGTTTTTGGGGTGGGGCCAGACCAGGCGCGGGGAGGGTGGCTCCTTGCCCAGCTCGAGAGAGCTGTCCCGGAGAGAAAGGGCATCTTAGAGATGGCAGCTCTTGGGACACAGGCGCCCGTAGGAAAGGGTAGAGCCTGCAGTTTGGGTGTCAGACCCAGGCTCTGATTGCAGTCCTGCCACTCACTAGCGCAGTGAGTGACCTTAGGCAAGTTGCTAAAACCCTCCTCCTCCGAGTCTCAGTTTCTTCAAGTGGGTATCATGGAGTTGCTTTTAGGGTTACGTGACATAAAATGTAGCATCTGACCCAAAGGAGACACCGGATATACATGTACTTTTTCTTCCCCGAGTTCCTGGAATTCAGTCCTTACCATGCTCGGATTCCCGAGGTTGGCCATCCACTCCTCTATCCACCCAGCCAGCCCATCCACCCATCCAAGTATTCAAGTACCTTCCAACCTTAAGGCCCTGTTGAGGGTTAGTGCAGCTCAGGGGCACTTGAGCAGTCAGAATTCTCCAGGCACCCTCTGCTCTCCCATCCCCAGACTCTGGAACTGATCAGGCATCCTCCACTCCCCATCTGGGATCCATGCACTTAACATCCCAACCCATTTCCCTCTCAAAAGGGAGGTCCCATGCCACTTGAACTCTGTTCTCCTGCCAGCTTCCAGCAGAGAGCGGAGGTGGGGGCTATGTGCCTCTTTCCAGGGGGCGGAAGGGGTGGCCCAACCCAAACCCGATGGCCCAGCAGGGTGGGGCCTAAGGGGCTGGGCTGGGCCAGAGCCCCAGAGGCTTGCAGGAGAGCAGGGTAAAGTGGAAGCTAGGAGCTGGACCGGTCAGACTGGGGCGTGTGGAGGGGATGGGACAGAGGGAGGGAAGGAGGGAGGGAGGGGACAAGCCAAGAAGAGACAGCTGAGGAGGCTTCTGGAGGCAGAACTCTCTAAGGGAGCACAGGAGGCTAGGCTCTGAAATCAACAGGGGTGGAGGAGGGACAGGCAGCCCTAATGCCAGGTTACTTCCCAAATGGGAGGAGGAGAGGGTGGGAAGAGCTGAGAATAGCAGCAATGGGGGCAGGTGACTCTCCAGGCCCTGGCTGACCTCACACCTCACACATTCCTCACAGCCCTAGCTCAAATGGGAGCCCAGACAGGGCCCCGCCCATAGGAGCCCTGTCCCTCATTCTCCACAGCTTCCCCCAGGCCCTCAGCCTCCACCCCATTCCCCGATCCCAGCCACCACTTCTCTTTCCTCTTGGGCTCCCAGCTCTCGGGCATTTTTCTTTGGGGAGACTCGGTCCCTGATTGTGGGGGTTAGTCTCACAGATGGGGAAGAAGGAAGAAGGACCAACCCCCCACACCCACTCAGTCATCCGTAAGCCCTTATTATTTTTCCCAAACAGGAAGTCCCTCCTCCAAAGCCTCAAACAGGAAGTCCCACTCCTCCCTCCAAAATAAAAGTTGCGACTCCCTAGCCCTTCTTCTGGGTTCCTATCAGTCTGCGGCCAGAAGGGAGCAGCGTGGCTATCTGACTAGCAATTTTGTTCCTCCCTTTTCAGCTTGCTGACATTCCTATGTTGAAACCTGGCCCTCAAAATAGGAAGTTCTGCCCACCACGCCATAGAACCGATCCGGACATTCTCCCCTGAAGGGCAAACCCCAGCAGCTCAGCTCTCCGGTGCCTTCCCGCGCCCCTCAGCCATCCTCTCCATGGCTTTGGCTTGGCCAAGGGGAGGACCCAGCCCCGGGGTGTTCCTCAGCAGAGAACAGAACCTTAGGGACATGCTTTCTTGGTACTGGAGGTCCTAGGACCCTAAAGTAGTCCACATGGACTATAAGATGTTACCATTGAAGACAGGAGTTCCGTTCCCCTCAGTAGGGAGAGAGATATGAGGACGAGGAGGAGACTGACTCCCTAGTCTCACCTCTAGCACATTTGCTAGTAAGTTCTTGGGGTTGGCCAGGTGATCGCTAAATCTGCAAGAGCTCTGGAATTTGACAATGATTCCCTTCAAACTCTAAAAAAGTATTATGGTCCTGGCAGGTTTGGCTCAGTGGATTGAGCGTCGGCCTGCAGACTGAAGGGTCCCAGGTTCGATTCCCATCAAGGGCATGTACCTTGGTTTCAGGCACATCCCCAGTAGGAGGTGTGCAGGAGGCAGCTGATCAAAGTTTCTCTCTCATCAATGCTTCTAACTCTCTAGTATCCCTCTCTGTTCCTCTCTGTGAAAAATCAATAATATATATTTAAAAGTAATATTACAATGAAATGAAATTAAAAAGTACTATGATTGACAATCCTAAACATAGAGTGCCACCCGGCTCTCTCCAGAGAGGGAGTGGGTCCCAAATCAACTTTGCTCAGTGCGTTATGCCCAGGCCAGGTTTCTGTTTAAGAGGTTCCACTCCCCCGCCCAACAAGTTTAACGTGGGTGAAGGACACCCACCAGGCAGTTTCACGTGGCTCCGTGAGGCAAGGGGTTCGGCGGCGGAGCCCACCTACCTATCGTCATCGCTGTCCAGGTGGCCGCTGATGGCCAGCATGGATCGGGCCAGGCTGAGGCTCTGGGCTGCCGCTGCTCCAAAGGGGTCTGGAGACTTGTGAACCAGACTGGCGTCGGGGAAGAAGTAGAGGGCCGGGGAGCTGGGGCGAGAGTCGAGCGGGGGTACCTGGAGGCAGAGAGGCAGGAACTGTCACATGAAGCAAGAGAAAGAAACCAACCACTTTACAACTTGCCCAGTAGTCTTCCTCCCTCCCCACCCCTCCTCCCCATGCTCTCTTCCAAGGACCCAGGGGTCCTGCTCTTTTCTTTTTTTTTTTTTAATATATTTTATTGATTTTTTTTTACAGAGAGGAAGGGAAAGGAACAGAGAGCCAGAAACATCGACCAGCTGCCTCCTACACACACCCCACCAGAGATGTGCCCACAGTCAATGTCCATGCCCTTGACCGGAATCGAACCTGGAACCCCTCAGTCCGCAGACCAACGCTCTATCTACTGAGCCAAAGCGGTTTCGGCAAGGGATCCTGCTCTGGAACCCCCTTTCCCCCCAGGTCTGGGGAAAGCATCAGGCAGGTACTAGAGGCAAGGAAACAGTGCCCATCCTGAGGACTAGGTAAGTGGCTTCTAAAAAGTGGTTCACAAGGTATCAGAGAGGGCTCTGATCTCCACACCAGCACCCTGCCGCCAGCCAAGCCAGGACCCCTCATCAGAGGCTAATCAGAGAGTCTGCCTTCTGTCACCCAACTTCTTAAAGCAACTTAAATGTCATTTCCTCAGAGAGGCGTTTCCCTGTCATTGGACTGGTAAATTCCACTGAACTGTTCCTTTTTTTTTTTTTTTAATCACACCTAATGCTACCTGATGATAAAGTATTTTTGCCTGTCTGTTGCTAAAAGGTAAGCTCCAGAGGGCACGGCTTAGTTTGTCCAATAGCTATTTGTAGAATGAATGAATCCTCAGAAACTGGTCCTCCACCCTCCCACCCCCACTCTACCCATGCGAGCCTCTCCTCTCAAACTTTTCGGGACTCAGGTAAGTTCTACGCTGGCTCAGGCCCTGGGGTAGGGGGTGAGGGAGCGGCGGCAGAGATGGGGGAGGCGGAGCCTGGGCGTGGACAGCCCAACAGGCACTGGGGGAGGCTGCAAAAGGGCGGGGGCCACAGGAACAAGCCGCCTCTGTGAGGCCCCAGGAGGCCCCAGCTTCTCAGAAAAGCCAAGAACAGCGAGTTCAGAGTGGTTAGAGGGACAGCACAGAGGAAGGGGCCCAGGTGATGTGCCCAGCCCTCCTGCTGATTCCCGTCAGAGGCCGCTGAGAGAGAAGAGGCAGGGGAAGAAGGTGAAGGAAGACTAACTTTGAGGCAGGGAAGCAGCAGCACAGATGCATGCACACAGGAAGGGATCCAGACCCAAGAGAAGAAAAAGGGGTTGGGGGCACCGAGAAGAGAGGGGCAGGGTCTGCGGGCCCAAGGAAAGCCCAGGTGGGGCTTAAGGATAGTCTCTCTGGGCAGAGGGAAGTGTGTGGGGGATAGGGAAGGGACCAGTAAAGGAAACAGCATCTTCTCCCCTGGGGTAGAAATTGAATGAAAGAGCTCAAGAAAAGTAGGGGTGGCATGAGAGATGTAAACTTCAGGCCAGGAGCGAGTGGGGGGAGCCGGTCCTGACTGGTCCTGACAGGGCCCAGACATCCAGTCGCAGGTTATTTTTATACTGTGGTTTGTGCCCAAGGCCAGGAAGGGGAAAAGTTCCCATCCTCACACTCCCTGCCTTTCCTCCTGCAGCCCAAGGTGTTATTTTCTCCTCCAGGGCAGACACATCCCACCCCCAGTCCCTGGCTGCCCACCCCTCACCCCAGAGACCCAGGCAGGCATCCTGCCCCCCAGCCCAGACTTGTTCCTCTTTTGGAGACAGGAAGCAGAAGGAGCAAAGGATTTAACTCCTTCTCTGCTGCTTCCTGCCTCTCTCTCCCACTCCGTATGGCCATCCCCAGTTACTGATCCTGGAGAGGCCCAGGCACAGGGAACTGAGGCAGACAACAAACCAGCAAGCCCCTCGTCCTTGCCATGGGCCCCCAGCACCACCCAAGTCCTCAGTTTCTCAGAGAAATCTGGCTTGGGACTAAGCTAGAGAGGGGCTGGGACAGGTGGCTGGCCCGGGAATGGAGCTGCAAAGGAGAGACAGCAGAATGCCTACTTTTTGTCCCTCTCCCCCCACTCTGGCAGTTCCTCTCCCAGAGGCCCAGACATGGGGCCTCCACCCTCAATGCCTAAGGGGTGAGACGAAGACTAAGTGAGAAGGGCACATCTCTGTGACAGAGAGATGGTGGGACTGGCTATATGGAGTTGGAGGCTTGGGCCAAAGACACATGAAAGGCTAAAGAATGTAGAGAAGAGCCTGACTGGTGTGAGCATCAACCTATGAGCCAGGAGGTCACGGTTCGACTCCTGGTCCGGGCACATGCCTGGATTGTGCGCTCAATCCTCAGTGGGAGTTGTGCAGGACGCAACCGATCAATGATTCTCTCTCATCACTGATGCATCTATCTCCCTCTCCCTTCCTTTCTTTCTTTTTTTTTTTTTAATATATATTTTATTGATTTTGTACAGAGAGGAAGGGAGAGAGATAGAGAGTTAGAAACATCGATGAGAGAGAGTCATCGATCAGTTGCCTCTTGCACACCCCCTACTGGGGATGTGCCCGCAACCAAGGTACATGCCCTTGACTGGAATCGAACCCGGGACCCTTCAGTCCCCAAGCCAACGCTCTACCCATTGAGCTAAACCGGTTTTGGCTCCCTCTCCCTTCCTTTCTGAAATCAATGCCGAAACCAGTTTGGCTCAGTGGATGGAGCGTCAGCCTGCGGACTGAAAGGTCCCGGGTTCGATTCCGGTCAAGGGCATGTACCTGAGTTTCAGGCACATCCCCAGTAGGAGGTGTGCAGGAGGCAGCTGATCGAAGATTCTCTCCCATCAATGTTTCTAACTCTCCTTCCCTCTCCTTTCCTCTCTGTAAAAAATCAATAAAATACATTTTAAAAAATCAATATATATATATATATATATATATATATATATATATATACATACATATACATATGTTGTTGTTTTTTTAAAGAATGTAGAGAAGAGGGAGCCTGAGAGGAGGAAAAAGGCTGAGTGAGGAATAGGAAAGGAACTCCAAGTGAGACGACAGAAAGAAAACAGAGGGGCTATGTGATCTGACAGAAGGGGATGGTGGAGTAGGAAGAAGTCAGTATGGAGGTGGAGGCCAAGGCCACGATGGCCAAGCACCACCCCTCTCAGGTGTCACCTCCACCCTGGACCCCAGCTCTTACCTGCCCCATCTCCTCTGGAGCAACCAACTCCATCCTCAGGCGCAGGGCTCCATCCTTAGTGCGGGACAGTGGAGGAGTTCCAGCTGCGGAGCCCCTGGTCTCCACGTCCACCCGCAGGGAGGACAGGGGCGTGGCAGCCCGGGACGTGCCCACGCTATCTCCAGCCCCAGGCTCTGGGGGGCGCTGCTGGGGTGGGGAAGCTGACAGAGGGGGTGTTTCCACCCTGGCCTTGCCGGGCACTGCCAGCTGGCCCAGCCCCCCAGTGAAGGAGCGGGCCTGAGGTCCAGGGGAGGTGGGAGGAGGGAGAAGCCAGGAGGTTGGACCCTGAGACAGGCCTGGCTGTGGGATGGGAGCTCCCAGGCCCAAGCTGGCCAGCTCCAACCTGGAATCCAGAGATCTGCCTCCGGCGCCCCCTGAGGCCCCTCGAATCCCCTCCAGGAGCCGGCCAAAGCTGGGGGGCTCCAGGTCTCTCTCGTAAACATCCACACACGTCCAGCGGCCACGGCGATAAGGCTCTCCCAGGCCCTGTGGCAGCTTCACCACCCGGAAGCGGGAGGCTGGGGCCCCAGGCGGTGGGGAGCCATTCCGGGGGGTGCTCTTGCCCCCTGGCTCTGGGTTGGGCTCCCCGTTGGGCAAGCGTGGTGGGGGCCCGGTAGGGGCCTGCGGGGCGGGGGACTCTGGTCCTCCAGGGCTCCCGGGGCCCTCGTAGTCCGTGGTGACGCTGGTGATCTGGAAACTACTTTTCTTCTTGCCCCCACTCATGGTCCCTGGGGCTCAGGATGGGGCCAAAGCGGGCAGGGGACGGGGCGGGTGGAAGCTCTTCGAAGGGGCTCAGGCACCCCTGGAACAGGGGAGCCACACGGCGGGGACATCAGGGCCCCTGGGGACGTCTGGGTCCGACATGGTGGGAGGGCCGTGCAGGAACTGGGGGTGCCTGGCTGGGGAAGGGAGGACCGGGCAGGGGAGGGGAGGCGGCGAGGAGGGGGAGCAGGGGCAGGTTTTTCCTGCTGCTGCCGTCGCGGCCGAACTCCAGAGCTGAGTTTGCAAACTGGAAAGAGAGCGAGAGAGCGTGTGTGTGAGAAAGCGGTGGGCAGGCCACCTCCGGGTCTTCCTCTCTGGGGAGCCGGCTGGGGGAGGAAGGGGAAACCACCAGAGACAAAGAGACAGGCAGCGATGACAGAGCCCGGAGAGGAGCGGGGCGCGCGGAGCAGGAAGAGGCAGCCGGACCCAAAAAGTTGGGCTTTTCTCGGCTGGGACTCCCACTCCCGGGGCCCTAATGCGTCCCAGGAGCACAGGGCTCCGGGGCTTGGTGAACGGGGTGGGGGCAAGCAGCTCCTCGGCCTGGCAGGTCCTCAAGTCCCCCATCTTCCCCCCCCACAGACACCCCAGCGCCCCCATTCCAGGGGCAGGCCCTGCCCGCCGCCCCGCCCCGCCCCGCGCCTCACCTCTCGGCCTCGGCCACCAGCGGGGCCGGGGTCCGGCCGCCTAAGATGTCGGGCTGGGGTTCCCGGGGCCTCGGGGCCCAGCAGCGCGGGGGCGCCGGCGCCGGCGGTCACAGGCCGCCCGGTCCTCTTCGGGGGCCGCCCCGCACCCCGCGCGGCATCGCCGTGGAAAGTTTGCGCTCCGGAAAGACGGAACCCCCGCCTCCTCGGCGGAGCCCAGGCGCGGCCTCCGCAGCCCCAAGTGTGCCGGGGCGGCGCGGGCGGGCGGCTCAGCGCCCTGGTCCTGCAGGTGGGGCCACGGCGGCGGGGGTCGGCGCGCGGGTCCCTCGGCTCCTCCGCGTGGCAGCGATGGGTCTCTCCGCCGCGCCGCTCGCTCCTCTCGGCTCGCTCTCACCGTCTCCCTCTTGCTGGGCTGTTGACAACCCCCACACCAGGAAGTCCTGCCTCCTCGGGCCTGCTGACTGCTCCTCTCCTCCTCCTCCTTCTTCCCCTCTTCCTCCCCTTCCTCCGCCCTCTCTCCCTCCTGGGGCCCCGGGCCAGCTGGCGCGCAGCCAGGCCTGCCACCGCCGCCGCCGGGCCGGCAGCACTCGCCGCCGCCGCTGCCGCTCCTGGGGCCCCGACCCGGCTCCCTTAACCCCACACCTGCTGGGCCCCAGCTCTGCCGTTCCTCGCCGGGAGAGGCTGCGGAGGGCGGGGAGGAGGGAGGAGCCCGCAGAGCGCCAGGGATTCCCTTACTTGTAGGCACTTGCTGCCTCGGGCCTGCAGGCTCCGGAGAGGGGGAAGGAACCCATCAGGGGCTCTGGGGTACCTACCGCCCCATACACGCCCGGTAAATGTGAAGGTGCTGCTGAAGCTGTTGTCGTCGTCATGTCTTTGCTAGCTTTCACAGCCACTGTAGGAGGCAGGTATGGTCATCCTCCCCTGTCCCTCCCTGTTTTAAAAAGTGGGTTATGATGACAATTTATAAAAATGCCCAAAGAGAATGGTATAACGGACTCCCAGGTACCCCTCATGTAGTTTTTAAAAATATATATTTTATTGATTTTTGACAGAGGGAGGAAGAGAGAGAATCATCGATCAGCTGCCTCCTGCACACCCCCTACTGAGGATGTGCTTGCAACCAACATACATGCCCTTGACCGGAATCGAACCTGGGACCCTTCAGTCTGCAAGCCGAAGCCCTATCCACTGAGCTAAACCGGTTTTGGCCCCTCACACAGTTTTAACAGTGATAAACTCACCGCCACTCGTGTTTCATCCACAGCCCCTGTTGTTCTGTGTGTGGGATTATTTGAACCAAATCCTAGACATCATATTTCACTTCTTTGATGTGGAAATGGAGACTCGGAAGGTTCAGAAAGGGTATCAGTGGGAGAGCAGAGGCATTCACACACTCAGGGTGTCCTTGTCTACCCTCCCCCCATATAAGAAAACATCATACATGTATGTACACACAACCACCTACACTGGTGACCTGAGGATGAACTGCTGGTCCCAAACATGGGTTCCTCTCCCACCTCTCACAGGTCCCATTTTTTCCATCCCTTGCTTCAGGTGGAGCCACTCAGTGGTGGGGGCGAGTGTGTCTCCCCAGTCTCCTCCTGCTATGGAGAATCCACACACACTCATCAAGGCCAACCATATGCTTGGTGTGAAAGAATAACCCCAACTGCCATTGTCTCTTTTCTGGCATCCCAACCAACATTCTGAGAGGAATTATTTTAGCAAAAGCCACCTCTGTCTTCATTCCTAGGTTCAGGAAGAAATGAATTCAAATTAATTTTGATCAAACAAAACTGTTTCTGAGTATATTAAAAATCCCTCATGTTTGTTCATTTCACATAAATTATCTGGTAGATTCCCAAACAGACCTGGGAAGAGATGGGATGGGTTTTGAGTTCCAATGTTTCTGCTAAGGAAACTGAGGCTCGGAGGCGTTCAGTTATTGGCCCAAGGCCTCAGCTAGCAGGAGACTAGCACTGGGGGCTGTCTGACATCCTTCCTTCCTCAGCTTTAGCTCATGGAAATTGAAAACCAATATTTAGGATTAGGAAAAAATTAAATGATGCAAAGCCTCTTGGGCCCCCGTGCTTATATATTATCATTTATCTTTTGTTAAAATGCATCTGCACTCCTGCCTCTCTCCCTTCATGGTAACAATGCCTACCATAGCCAGGTTCTGAAGCCTCCCAAATATGAAGTCCAAGAGTGGCTCCTGCCGAAGCCGGTTTGGCTCAGTGGTAGAGCATCAGTCTGTGGACTGAAAGGTCCCAGGTTCGATTCCAGGCAAGGGCATCTATCTTGGTTGCGGGCACATTCCCGGTAGAGGGTGTGCAAGAGGCAGCTGGTTGATGTTTCTCTCTCATCAACGTTTCTAGCTCTCTATCTCTCTCCCTTCCTCTCTGTAAAAAATCAATAAAATAAAATTTAAAAAAAAAAGAGTGGCTCCTGGCTCCTGGCCGCCCCCCCCAAAAAAAACAACAACAAAAAAACAAAACAAAAAAACACCTCTCTCCCTCTGGCAATATTCAGAACATATTCCTATTGCTCCACCCCCAGATTCTTCTTCTTTCAGCTCTGACTAGTTACAGACTATTCAAAATCCACCTTTAGACCCTCCCCTTCCCATGGTTTTAGACCCTTAGTATCATCTTGGACTTCTGAGTCTATAGTGCCAGGGAGAGTATTGGTCTCTGCAGAAATGTTTGTTGAACCAATCAATAAAAACTCATTCACATTAAGGTATAAAAGAAAAAACAAAACACCTGTTCTTTTAATGTATTACCTCTCTGGTGGGCATTTATAACAGCCCTTTAATGTATGGGGCCCTTTACACTTGTATCCATTACTGCCCCCACCATTACTGAGGTAGGTATGAGATGAGGCAACTCTGAGAGGTTGCTCTATTTGCCCAAAGCCACACAGCACATCTTGAAGGACTGCCATATAAAGTACCACTCCCAGGTTCCAGGGATCAGGGCGTGGATATCTTTTGGGGGGGTCCATTTTTCAGCCAGTGAAGGATAGAACTGAAGTTTTTCTTGCAGCTAAACCTGCACCAAAGATAATTCAAAGAAGGAGTTTCTCATGGAGCTGAGAAATGTGATGGGAGAAGGGGGCGAGGTCTCGTTCCTGAGCGACCAGCCGGCCTTGGCCAAGGTGGCTGCAGTCAGATCTATCCGGGGCGCCCAGGTCAGAGCGGCTACGCCCGCGGAGTCAAAGGTTGCAGGGAGGATGCCTTGGGCCGCGGGGCGGGCTGGCGGAAGGCTGCGCCCAGAAAGTGAAAGAAGGCCCAGGCGCCTGGAGGGATAGAGGACCAGCACCGACGAGTGCCCTCCCGCACCTGGGGGGGCCGGCGGGAAGCGGGCGCACAGCCAGGGGCGCACGCCCCCTGCTGGGCAGAGACGGGGAAGGTCCCGCTCCGGGCTCAGAGCCCCTTGGCCCAGAAAGCGGCCCCCCCTGCCGGCCGCGCCGCCTCACTGCACCCCGGGTTCCGCAGCCGCAGACTCGCCCCTGCTGGCCGCGGGGTGCGCAGCCGAGGAGCCCCTGTCGCACAAGGGACTCGTGCGAGGTGCAAGCCTCGGGCTGCCGCTGGGGGGCGCCGCTGCGCGCTGCGCCTGGCTCCGCTCCGCGGGATCCTGGGCCACCGAACGGCCGGGCACCGGGCGAGAGGCGGCGAGGAGCCGACCCCCCAAAGCGGGGGCTGGCTGGCGCCGGGCTCCCAGCGCCCCACGACCTTTCTCCGATTCCCCCCACCCCCCACCCCTAGGATCCCGTGGCCCCCGTTATCTCCCACCCGAGCCGGGCGCCTGCTCCCCTCCGTCCTTGGAGGGTGGAAGGGTGGGTTTGGGGCCGGGGGCGGGTCTGGGGGCGGACCCGGAGGCGGGGCTGTCTCTGCGGCAGGACCCAGCTCGGCTTCCCCCCGTCTCTCTGTGTCTCTCCTCCTCCCTCCTCCTGCTCCGGGCGGAGCCCGGCATGGGGGGGCCGGCGTCCGGCAGGCCAGGTACGGTTCTGTAGAAATTGGGGGGGCTCGGTGCGGGGTGGTGGAATGGGGGGAAATCAGGGGCAGGGAGGATCGGCGGACTGAGCGACGGAGAAACCCAGGGTAGCGGGACAAGGGGAAGGGGAGGGGTGCCCGTGGACCTGGGGCCCTGGGATGGAGAGGGGGATGGAGATGGCCAGGTTTGGAGCCGACGACGAGGAGGGGGGAGGACGGCGGTGAGGAGGGGCGCCTGGCAGGAGAGGTGAGGCTGAGGTGCAGGAGAGGGTGTTGGGGGAAGCGCACCCGGGCAGGTATGCAGGCCGCAGCTCTGGAGGTAGCGGCGGGCCGGGCTGGGGATAGCGGGGTGGGATTGAGGGGCGGGAACTGGGAGAAGGTAGCGGGAGCCTCCCAAATCCTGGGGGTGGAAGAAGGAGGTTTGAGCTATCAGCCAGGGAAGCGGAGACCGTCGCTGAGGAGCCAGGGCGCGGGACGAGGGGTGGACGGAGGAGGCCCGGGCCCAGGCACAGAACTGGAAGGGAAAAGGCAGGGGATGGAGATATTGGGGTGGCGGTATTGTTCATACCCAACTCAGAGTGGCCCTACCCTTTCTCCAGCATCCCTGCCCTGCCCTCACGACACCCCTCAGCCGCAGGGCCCAAGATGGGGTGGGGAATCTGACCACCTCCCCCTTCCCCAGTGGGGTGCAATGCTCGCCAGTAGGCCCAGGCATAACTCCCTGTCTGTAGGTATGTCCAGTTCTGTGCAGCCTGTTTGTGTGTGTGTGTCTGTCTGGAGGTCTGTGTGAGCTGTGGGTGTGTCAAGTGTTTATGTCTGTGCGTCTGACTGTTCCTGGGTTGTGTTTACCTACGCTGATCTCTGTGCTTCTCTGATTGTAGATAAGGGTCTAGGGCCCCGTGGTGTGTGTGTCTGAGTGTGTGACTGAATGTGTGTTTGTGGGGCCTGTTTGGTGGATCAGGATGTATTGACAGGATGAGAATCTCCGTCGGTCTGATTTCTCCGAAGTATGTATGTGTGTCTCTGAACACCTTTGGGTGACTCTGTACAAATGTCCATCCATGTCTGTCTGTCTGTCGGTCCTTAGAGGTGGTGTTGCATTTGTGTGCCTGTTTTCTCTCTGAGGACCCGAGTCATGTCTCTGTTCCTTTCTCTCTCTCTCTCTCTCTCTCTCTCTCTCTCTCTGATCCCTGTCCCCCCTCATCTTTCTTTTTTCCCCTTCCCATCCCCCCACCAAGTGGATCCGGGACCCAGGGAGGGCCGTCCTCCGGGCCTGGTGGCTCTAAGCAGGGCCCCCCAGCCCCCACCTCCTACTTCACGACATGAACCTCCTCTACCGAAAAACCAAGCTGGAGTGGAGGCAGCACAAGGAGGAGGAGGCCAAGAGGAGGTAAGGCTGTGTCCTGGAATGCCCCCCTCACCTGCCTACCTCTGCCTCCCCCTAGCTGGGTCACATCCCTTCTGCCCTTCCTGGTGCAACAGCCTGGCCATCAGCCTGATCTCAGAGTCTGTCCAGAATTGCTGGAATGGCACACGCCCTGTCCCCACCCTGCGCCCTGCCCTTTTGGGGGGCTTCCAGCACCCTGTTGGCTCCTCTCCATTCCCAGAGGCCCAGTCACGCCTTCCTCCCTCACCTCTGGCCTGTGGTCTACTCTCTCAATGTGGGGCTGGCTCCTGGCTCCTTTGACATCTGACCTTGGAAGGGGCAGGCCATGCTGCCCGCACAGTCCAGGGACGGGGTCATTTATGGGGCAGCAGAGAAGATCCCCTTGGCCCCCTCTCAGCCTCTGCTGGGGGAGGCGAGGGCCGAGAGGCAGGGCTGTGTGTGTGTGGAGAGGGACGTGTAGGCCCCACAGAAGAGCCAGCGCTTGCCCTCTCTCCCTGCCCTCCCGGGGACCTGGGGTCTGGCCTCTTCTGGCTTGCTCCCTTCTCACCTTCACCCCCATTGACTGCACAGCCTCTTGGAGCCTGAGTCAGAGCCAGCTCCCTGCTCCCTGCTCCCTTCTCCAAACCAGAGTTTAATCCTTGCTAATTAGATTAATCAGAGCTATCACTGCAGCGATCTCTTCCTAATGAAGGGTTAGGAGACAGGGCCTTAATGAAAGCCCACCCCACAGCTTCTCCCCCTCTTCCCCGCCAGCCACCCCTGCCCTTTCCTCACCCAGAAGCCCAGGGGACAGAGAAAGGGGATGGGGGTGAGCCTGGGAGGGTGACAGAGAGCGGACAGCGCTGAGGAGACAGACAGACAGAGACCAGGTCCGCCCGGGGAGGCTGCTCTCGCGATGTGGTTGGAGAGTAGGACAGGCCCGTGAGGCTGGGCACGGGGAAGGCCAGAGGCCAGGTGTGAGCATGAGGGGAAAGGAGGGGACCGGGTGGCAGGTGTGAGCCAGATGGGGTTGTGCTGCTGCTGGGTTTGCCATCTCTCTGCCCGTGTGTGAGATCGTCCACATGTGTGCCGTGTGCTGGGATCGGCCAGCACGAGGCTGCTCCCCTGCACACATACTTACCTACCTCTTCTCCCATCCCATTGTGAAAGCCGGGATTCCGCCGGAAGCTGCTCCTTCAGTGCCCTGGGCCTTTAGGCCGCCCCTGTCCCCCATCCCCACCCCAGTCCCTCCTCTTCTCCCGGGGAGGCCACAGGGTTGCAACCGACCTCCACTCCCTCTTGGCCTTCTCTCCCCAGCTCCAGTAAGGAGGTGGCTCCTGCAGGCTCGGTGGGGCCCGGGGCTGGCCCGGGGCCCGGGGTCCGCGTGCGGGACATCGCCTCTCTGCGCCGCTCCCTCAGGATGGGCTTCATGACCATGCCCGCCTCCCAGGAGCACGCCCCCCACCCCTGCCGCAGCGCCATGGCCCCGCGCTCCCTCTCCTGCCACTCCGTGGGCAGCATGGACAGTGTGGGGGGTGGTCCTGGGGGAGGCGGCGGGGGTCTCTCTGAGGACAGCAGCACACGGAGACCCCCGGCCAAGCCCCGGAGACACCCCAGCACCAAGCTCAGCATGGCAGGGTCTGGGACAGAGACGCCTCCTAGCAAGAAGGCAGGTGAGATACCCCCAAACGCCCCCTCCTCAGGGGAAGCAGGGAGTGGGGAGTCGGAAGGATCCATTGCAGGCCAGAGGAGGCCTGCTGGGAGGGCTCATTCCGGGAAGCACCAAGGAAGTGGAAGGTTTCATCCTCAGAGGGGCGGGGGGTGAGGGGGGGGGGTCCTTTCCGGAAGGGTGTGAGACGGATGGATTATTCAAGAACAGGGGAAGTTTCCCTGAAAAGTCCCATCTTGGGAAAGGGGTGGCGTGTCCTTGGACGTACATGAGGGCGGGAGAGAATTGAGGGCGGGAGCTTCAGATTCGGAGGAGCTGCTTGGATGGACTGGGGGTTCCCTGGTAAGATGGGACCCCCCTGGAGCTGTACGTTGAGAAATGTGGGCAAAAGGAAGCAGCAGCTACGTCCTTGCAGGTGGGCCAAGAGGTCAAAGAGCACCATTTATTTTTCTCTTTCCCATCTTCCCCAGGCTCACAGAAGCCAGCCCCAGAGGGCCGAGAGTCTAGCCGGAAGGTTCCTCCTCAGAAGCCCAGGCGAAGCCCCAACACGCAGCTCTCTGTCTCCTTCGATGAGTCCTGCCCCACCGCTCCCTCTCCCCGAGGGGGGAACCTGCCCCTCCAGCGCCTCAGCAGAGGGTCCTGCATCGCGGGGGACCCTGAGGTGGGTTCCCAGGAAGAGGAGCCCGTGTACATCGAGATGGTGGGGGACGTCTTCAGGGGAGGAGGGAGATGTGGAGGGGGCCTGACCGGGCCCCCTCTTGGGGGCGGGGGTCCGACCCCTCCAGCCGGCGCTGACTCAGACTCGGAAGAGAGCGAGGCCATCTACGAGGAGATGAAATATCCGCTGCTCGAGGAGGCGGGGGACGGCCGGGCCAATGGGCCCCCCTCGCTGACCATCGCCTCCTCGCAACACCAGCCTCACGCCCTCCAGCCCCACGCCCACCATCGTCCGGCCTCAGCCCTCCCAGGCCGGAGGGACAGGGACAGGGACAGGGACGGGACGCCCACCAAGACCACTCCTTGCGAAATCCCCCCGCCCTTCCCTAACCTCCTCCAGCACCGCCCTCCGCTCCTGGCCTTCCCCCAAGCCAAGTCTGCTTCCCGAACCCCCGGCGACGGGGTCTCCAGGCTCCCCGTCCTCTGCCACCCCAAGGAGCCGGCGGGCTCCACCCCAGCTCCCCAAGTGCCTGCCCGAGAGCGGGAGACGCCTCCCCTGCCGCCGCCTCCTGCCGCCAACATGCTGCTGCTGGGACCCTCGGGCCGGGCCCGGAGCCACTCCACCCCGCTGCCGCCCCAGGGCTCTGGCCAGCCCCGGGGCGAGCGGGAGCTCCCCAACTCCCACAGCATGATCTGCCCCAAGGCGGCAGGGGCGCCGGCAGCCCCTGCCCCCGCCACCCTGCTCCCCGGCCCCCCCAAGGACAAGGCCGTGTCGTACACCATGGTGTACTCGGCCGTCAAGGTGACCACCCACTCCGTCCTGCCCGCGGGGCCTCCCTTGGGTGCTGGGGAGCCAAAGACGACAGAGAAGGAGATCTCGGTCCTCCACGGGATGCTGTGCACCAGCTCGAGGCCCCCCTTGCCTGGGAAGTCCAGCCCCCACGGCGGAGCCGTGGGCACAACGGCGGGGGTCCTCCACCACCGAGGCTGCCTGGCCTCCCCGCACGGCCTTCCGGACCCAACGGCGGGCCCCCTGACCCCCCTCTGGACCTACCCGGCCTCGGCGGCTGGGCTCAAGAGACCCCCTGCCTACGACAGCCTCAAGGCTGGGGGGGTGCTGAACAAGGGCTGTGGAATGGGGGGCCCATCCCCCCTGGTCAAGATCCAGCTGCAGGAGCAAGGGACGGATGGGGGTGCCTTTGCCAGCATTTCCTGTGCCCACGTCATCACCAGTGCGGGGACACCGGAGGAAGAGGAGGGGATGGGCGCAGCGGCGTTCGGGGCAGGCTGGGCTCTGCAGCGGAAGGTCCTGTACGGAGGAAGGAAGGCGAAAGAGCTGGACAGTGAGTGAAAGGAAGGTGGGGGGGTGTGGACCTCCATGGTGGGTTAGGGAAGGCCTTGGAGGAGTTATTTGGAAGCCATGGCCCATTGTCCTGAACTGGGGAGCATTCTGGGAGACAGGAGGGCGGGGGGTATGCAGTGGGCTAAAGGGATGGGGTCCCCAAAGGTGTGCGGAAGGGACAGTAAGATCTGGGCTGGGGAGGCAGAATCTGGCCCCCAGAGCAGCCTCTCCTCCTGCCCAGTCCTGCTGTAGTCCCTGCCCCTCCCCTCGCTGGGCTGCAGGGGTGTGTGAGTGTGCGCACACTTGGAGCTAAACACAGCTGCCTCCCAGCTGTTACCATGGCAACCAGTCCAGACTGGAGGGAGAGGAGAGGGAGGCCCCTACTGTTGCCTGGCAACGCAATGCTCTGCCAGGCCTACTCTCAGAGATGAGCTTAGTTCACAGTCAGCCCTTCCTCCAACAATTCCTCCCCAACATACACACGCACACTTCCTGGCTCAGGATTTCGGATTCTTCCCCTCTGGAGATAGGGCCCCTGTTCTGTCTCGGTAGGTAGGCATTACAGCCCTAGCTGGGGCTGTAGGGGCTTGGAAGCTAAAGTTGGGATAGGGCAGATACCTCTGCCAGGAGTCATGCCAGTGATTGCAAGGGAAGGTGGCAATACCGGGTCCCCCCTGTGTGTGAATGTGCTGGGGGAGTGACATAGGGCCCCTCCCTTCCCAGCTGTGACCTGCAAAGGGGCCGTGACTTGTGACTTGGATATGCTGCCGTGTGTGGAGCTGGGGGAATAGCGGGACCCCCCCCCAAACACACACACACACACACACACACACACACACACACACACAGGCACTGAGCTCTCCTTGTCATCACAGCAGAGGCCGAGGATAACGCCCGGGCCTGGAACGGCAGCTCCGAGGGCCCAGCCAAGGTGGAGCGTGAGGACAGGGGTCCTGTGGCGTCGGGGATCCCAGTGAGGAGCCAGGGGGCCGAGGGCCTGCTGGCCAGGATCCACCACGGAGGAGACCGAGGCGGGAGTCGCACAGCGCTGCCCACGCCCTGCCAGACCTTCCCGGCCTGCCATCGAAACGGAGGTGACAACCGGCCCGCCCACACCTGCGCCCGGATGGGGTGGGCTGCGGGGGGCAACTTCCCCGGGCTCAGGTCCTGGGGCCCACACCCTAATGCCTCATCTCCACCCCTGCCCTCTGCTGAGGCCGGCAGCCTGGCAGGGGCCGTCCTCAGGGAACTAGGGGGAGACCTGACGGCCCCTTCCCTCTCTTCCTCAGACTTCACGGGAGGCTACCGCCTGGGGCGCTCTGCCTCCACCTCCGGAGTCCGGCAGGCCGTGTTCCACACCCCCAGGCCCTGCAGCCAGCCCCGCGACGTGCCCGGCCAGGTGAGGAGGAGGAGGCCAGAATGTGGAAAGCAAGGCATGGAGTCAGGCTGGGCCCTGGCACAGACTAACAGGGAACAGGTAGAGGGGTTGGGAGAGGATCCCGGAGCGGGGCTGCTGATGACGGAGAAGCCAGGCAGGGCCGCCCCTGGGTAAGGTTAGGGTTAGGGTCAGTGTGTGTACAGTGTGTGCACCTTCGTGCACCCCTTCTGGGGGGCCCACTGGAAAAGTGCTTCCTACTGGAAAGACAGCTTTGAAAAGGTACCCCTTCCCAGCGGGAGGCAGGCACAGCCGGGCAGAGGGTGGTGCCAGGGCTGGGTCCCTGTCCCCACGGGTGCCCGCAGCCGGGGGGAGAGGATGGGGTGAAGAGAACACTTGTTTCTGGGAGAAGGCAGTGGGGACAAGGGCGCCGTCCTCCTGAGGTCCTGACCTATTTTCTCCTTTCCTCCCCGCGTCGGGGCGGCGGCGCACAGACCCACCCCGCGCTGCCGCTGCCGCTGCCCCCGCCGCCCCCGCCGGCCCGCGAGCGCGACGGCAAGCTGCTGGAGGTGATCGAGCGCAAGCGCTGCGTGTGCAAGGAGATCAAGGCGCGCCACCGGCCCGACCGCGGCCTGTGCAAGCAGGAGAGCATGCCCATCCTCCCCAGCTGGCGGCGCGGGCCCGAGCCCCGCAAGTCCGGCACCCCGCCCTGCCGCCGGCAGCACACCGTCCTCTGGGACACCGCCATCTGAGGAGGGCGGGGGCCCGGGGCTGGGAGCAGGGCTGGCTCCCCAGGAACTTGAAGGACCAGGTGAGAGAGAGCCAGCCCGGCCCTGCGTCCTAACCCCGGAGGAGGCTGCCAGGCCCACGGGCTGTGTGGGGCACTAGCAGGACCCACAGACATTTGGGGGAGGAGGAGAAGGAGGGTTTGCTTGAAGTTGGGAGTGAGGCTTCCGCTGCTCCTCCCACTGAGCGGGGTAGACCCCTCCCCAGAGGGCAAAGACCAAGCCAGAGGTCAGCATGGGGGATGGAGGGAAGGGCTAGGGAGGACGGGGGATGCTGGGCCCATGGAAGGAGGAACTAGAGAGAGAAAGGTGGAGGAGCTCTTATAGAGTCGGGGATGGATTGGGGAGGGCATATTTATTTTATTTATTTTAGTCTAGAGGGCAATTCCGCCCCCACCCCCAACCCTCAAGCAGGGAGTGGAGAGTGGAGAGCAATGAAAGGAAAGCAAGTTTACACTCTTCCCCAACGCCTCGAAGGCCCCACTATCCAGGCCTGCCCCAAAGCTAGGGATGGGTCTGGAGGGCAGCAGACTCATTTACAGTAGTTACAAGTAGCCAGAATTTGGTAGTGAGCTGGCCTGCTCTGAAGCAGGCATCTGATTTAGCTCTGGAGTGAGGATCTGGCACCAGGGATGGGTGGGATGGTGGGGAAGGAGGGACATTTTTGTGGGTGGGGGGAGGGTAGGGTATTTATTTAAATTAAAAAAAAACGGAAGAGATGTCAGGAATTTTTTTTTTAATTCCTTTCTTGCAGAATAATATATTAAAAGACTAATGATCCTAGAACTGGCTTCTTAAATCTCAGTGTGCTCTGCCTTTCTTACACTTGTTTCCTTTCCCCTCTGACCCTGGGTTTGTTTGTGGGCGTTGAAGGCTGGGCAGGGAGGGTTGAGTGGCTGTACTAACGTGGACAGGTGGAGTTTGAGGTAAGTTTTCAGTGACTCAACATATTTATGGAGCACCTGATGTGTGCTTGACAATGTGCGAACGCAGAAGGAATATTCAAACTAAAACCTGCCCTCGAGCAGTTGTGATCTACCCAGGGAGATGAACTACCTGAGCTGACACTAGACAGAGCTCCCGGAGTAAGAGAGTGCGAGGGCTGCAATCAGCTGAGAACGCTTCTAGAAGATTGAGCCTATAAGGACAGGTAAGGTTAGGATGAGCTGGGGAGAGGAAGGAAAGTCCCAAAGTCACAGTGGTTGTCTGTGAAACAGTAGAAGATGGGGGTTCGGCCCTGGGAGTGTGTGTAAATAATACATACGGCAGCCCTGGCCGGGTGGCTCAGTTGGCTGAAGGGTCATCCCATACACCAAAAGGTTTCTTGTTCGATTCCCGGTCAGGGCACATGCCTGTCTGTTGCAGGTCGCAGGTCCCATTTCCTGTCTGGAGGAGTATGGGAGGCAATTGATCTATGTTTCTCTCCCACAACAATGTTTCTCCCTTCCTCTCTCTGTAGAATCAATTAAAAAAAAACCAAGCCAACATAGCCTCAGGTGAGGCTTGATACATAGGTAAATAAATAACACAGAGGCTATAGGGAGTCAGCCAGGATGGAGCTGGTTGAGAAAGATGGGCTTCACAGGAACATGCTGGTCTTGGGGAAGGAACCAGAGAAACCCCAGGAGGCGCTGAGTCACCGGGAAGGAGGATGAGAACCATGTCTGGGAGAACAGGAGGACGAGAGACAATGAGTGGGGTGGGAGGAGGGAGAGCATTTCCAAGCCCAGTTTGGAGTTAGGTGATGGGGGAATGATCACCCTGACACAGCAAGAAAAGTGGGGTTAAAAGGACTTTGAGTGAAGACCAATGAATTTGAAGCAATAGTGAATATTTAGTTAAAAGGTTTGTGGCCGAAACCGGTTTGGCTCAGTGGATAGAGTGTCGGCCTGCGGACTGAAAGGTTCCAGGTTCGATTCTGATTGGGGGCATGTACCTTGGTTTCGGTTGGGCACATCTCCAGTAGGGGGTGTTCAAGAGGCAGCTGATCGATGTTTCTGACTCTATCTCTCTCTCTTCCTCTCTGTAAAAATTCAATAAAATATATTTTTTTTTAAAAAAGGAAGGTTTGTGATCACCTAGAAAAGAGTTTCAAAAAATATGGATAATACAAGAGATGTTTTTAAACAGTATGATGGGCATTTAAAAAAAAAAAAAACTTTAATTGTCTTGTGTTTATTTTCATTCATATTAAAGAAATTATAAGCAGCACATCAGACTTCTTGTTATTTCATGGTTATTATTACATAAGGCTAATCTTTATATGTTTTCATTGATTTCAGAGAGGAAGGAACAGGGAGAGAGTGATAGAAAATCATGGATCGTCTGCCTCCTGCATATTGCTTACAGGGGATCAAGCCTGCAACCTGGGCATGTGCCCTGACTCTCTTGGTTCATAGGTTGAGGCTTGACCACTGAGCCACACTGGCCAGGCACAATTTAAACTTATTCACAATTTAAACTTATATATGGCCAAGTCAATCTATAAACATAAATGAGAAAATTTTTCTTCTAACACATGAGAAAATGATCGGTACAATATACAAGAAAGAAAGATTTTTGAGTTGATAAGAAAAAGAACCCAAACAAATGTGAAAAAGAGGACATGAACAGTTCACCAAAGAAACAGAAGTTACCAATAAACGTGTCCAACCTTAACAATAAATAATGCAAAATAAGACAATAATAAAATACTTTCAGCTATCAGGCAAAACTGAAACTTTTCATAACATCAATCTGGCAAGTATGCACAGGAAAGAGGCATTCCTTGTAAGTGTAGATTAATACAGTCTTTGGAGGTCAGTTTAACTATTAAAATTTAAAATGTGCATGGTTTTGACTCAAAAATTCCATTTTCACAAATTTATCCTCTGGAAATAGTTATACAGGTGTACTAAGCTAAGTGTACAAGGATGCTAATTGCAGCATTGTTTGAAATAATGAGAAACTGGAAACAACCCCTAATGTAATCCGTATGGAACTAAGCCATTTATGGGATCCATGGAAAACTGAAGCTGTTAAATACAATGCAGAAGATACAGCTGCTCTAGACACAGGAAGCGGTTCATAATAAGTGAACAAAGTAGTGTGCAGGAAAGTACAATATAGAAAAAGCACATTTTGAGAAAAAATATTTGTAAATTTTTATGTAGGTCTGGAAGGAAGTACACCAAATACTTGGCGATTATTTTTTAGCCTGACAAGAGAGGTGTCTTAATTTGCTTCAAAAAAATTTAGATTATTTAAATTTTTATGTGTATATCTTCATTCTGAAATCAGAAAACTATATATTTATTATTTAAAAAAAAAAAATAGGCCGAAACCGGTTTGGCTCAGTCCCAGGTTCGATTCCAGTCAGGGGCATGTACCTTGGTTGCAGGCACATCCCCAGTAGGTGTTTCTCTCTCATCGACGTTTCTAGCTCTCTATCTCCCTTCCTCTCTGTAAAAAAAAAAATCAATAAAAATATATTATAAATAAATAAATAAATAAATAAATAGTACGTTGGTTGCGGGCACATCCCCGGTAGGGAGTGTGCAGGAGGCAGCTGGTTAATGTTTCTCTCTCATCGACGTTTCTAGCTCTCTCTCTTCCTTCCTCTCTGTAAAAAACCAATTAAATATATTAAATAAAAAATAAATAAATAAAATAAAAATAAGTAGTTATGTGTTCAAAGAGGATAAAGACAGGGCAGGGGTTGTGCTCAGTGACAAGGAACAGAGGTAGGCACCAAATGCCAGGTACTGTGGAGCCAGCATATGTGGGTTCAAATCCAGATGGGCACTTAGAGGTTGGAAAGAGAGCGGTAGGGATAGAGATGGAGATGAGATGAGATGAGAAAAACTGGAGTCTCAGCAGATGTGGAAGGAGAAGCTGGATTGGATGGGGTCAAGGCAGTAAGGGCTCAGACCAAGGCAGGTGCCGAAGGATGCTGTGAGCCTGGGCAACCCAGACCTTTGTGAGATGTACAAGACGGAAGGCCTACAAAGAGTTAAAATGTTTAAAAAACGTAGACTGTGCTGGAGCTATAAGTCTCACAGAAGGAGGGCTGAATGCCCCCTGGGAAGTCACCTGGGCCCGGCCTGCCTGCCTAACACCTGGCAAAACACCTGGATGTCCTCCTGGGGCCGCCACGCCACGTCCAACTCTGACTTTTCACCTTCTGAAACTCCAGCCAAGCAGGGAGGTCTAGGGCAGTGCAGCCAGAGGTGAGAGTGTCCTGGAGCATTCAAGTCAAGGAGGTGACAGGAGCTGGGTGGGGAGACCTTCATTGGGAGGGAACCCATTCAAAGGAAAGGGGGGGAGAAAAGTTCCTCAGAAATAATGTGCTGCCTTATTTTTCATGGCCAATTTTCCCGTTGAGATAATATTTCAGCTCTGATGAGAGATTTCCGTCAAAGGGCACGTCAAAAAAGACTTGGGAGCAATTTGGAAGAGCTCTCAATGGCCAAAGGATGGGATAATTTGAGCATCGATATGGGTAAGAACTGCTGGGGCTCAGTTGGTTAGAGGATTGTTCGATGCACCACAAAGAGTCTCAGGTTCGATTCCTGGTCAGAGCACATACCTAGGTTTCAGGTTTGAGCCCCTAGTCGAGGTGTGTGCAGGAGGCAACTGATTGAAGTCTCTCTCTCACATCAGATGTTTCTCTGTCTCTCTCCCTCTCCCTTCCTCTCTCTCTCTTTTTTTTTTTTTTTTTAATATATTTTATTGATTTTTTACAGAGAGGAAGGGAGATGGATAGAGAGTTAGAAATATCAATGAGAGAGAAACATCAATCAGCTGCCTCCTCCTGCACACTTCCTACTGGGGATGTGCCCGCAACCAAGGTACGTGCCCTTGACTGGAATCAAACCTGGAACCTTTCAGTCCGCAGGCCCTTGCTCTATCCACTGAGCCAAACCGGTTTCGGCTCTCCCTTACTCTCAATAAAACGTATCTGCAGGTGAGGATTTTTTATTTTTATT